CGGCCCTGCCGCAGGCCCCGCGCGTCACGTGCCCCATTGCTAGGTTACCGGCACCCAAAAATAAATCCCTCCAAACGAGATTAGAAACGCGGGGACCTCGCGTGAACCGGAGCCGCCGCTCAGGAGCGGGGAGCAGCTCCCGGCACGGGCGGGCTCGGCTGCCCCGCAGGGACCTCCCACTGCCCCGTGTGGGGCCATCTCCTGCCCCACGCAGGGTCCGGGCACAGGGATGGAGCCGCTGCCGGTCGGGGGGAGCAGCCGGGACCTCCCTATCCCATTAACTGGGGTCTCCCTCACTCGAGCTGGCTGCATCCCCTGATCTGGACTGATCTCCTCTCCCAGGTGCAAACCCCGAGCCGGGTGCATGCCAGAGCCCAGATGCACCCATGAACTGGGTGCGAAACTCTGCCTGGGTGCAAGCTGTAGTGCTGATGCCCCCCCAGAACCCAAATGCCCGTCTGTTAACATGGGTGCAAACCCTGACCTGGGTTGCAAACCCTGTCCTGCAACCGGATCATAACCCCATGCTCCCGTAAACGAGGTGCAAACCTTTACCTGGGTGCAAGCCCCAATCCTGATGCACCCTCCAACCTGGGTGCCCCCCAGACATGGGTGCAGGCTCTGCCCTGGGTGCACATCACCCTGGCCCGTGTCTGTCTTGGCTGCGGAGGAAACGGAGGGAACGGAGCCTCTGGGCACTTTTCCTGCCCTGTCCGGGCGGCAGCACCGGCAGCCTCATGGTTTTGCTGCTTCCTGCAACCGGATCATCCGCAACGCAGCAAAGGTGCCGGCAGCACCCATGGGTGCATCCCCAAGCTGGGTGCCGGCTGCGCCCCGTGCAGCTCCTGGCTCCGCCTGGGGCAGGGAAACTGAGGCAGCAGCTCCAGTGACGCAACTGGGAATATGTGGGGAGGTGGGGACAGGGGTGGCAAGGATGGCAGAACCCAGAGTGCAGGAGCAAAGCTGGAGCAATACGGGGCCATACTGGGCTATATGCTGGGCTATACAGGGCTGTACCGGGCTATAGGGGCTATATTGGGTGGGGGGTAGCTGGTGGCTGGCTGGGTGGGTAGGAGGGCTCTGGGGGACAGACAGGCAGACGGTGACAGACAGACGGCTGCGTTGCCAGAGGGGCACCCTGGCACCCTTCACCCTGCACCCCAGAAATGTCCCCCCAGCCTCTGGGCACCCCAGCACCCAGCGCAGCCAGAGGGAACATGCAGGGCCAGCACAGCCTGGGGGGCATGTGGGTACCGCAGGGTTGGGGAGAGGCCTGTGGCCCCCTAGCAATAAAACCTGCTTCATCCTGGCGCCTCCGTCTCCTTTTCCTCTAATTTGGGACCCAAAACCCTCGCGCAGAAGCTGCAGCTAAAAATACCGACGCCGAGACCCAGCCAGTTACGTAAGAGC